GCGTTTGCACTCATAGCAGTCTAGTTGCTAATGAAAGGCAGGCGCCCAGGGGCCAGGGTCTGATTGGCACCACATGGAGCCAGAGGGGGGCGGCTGGGAGGGAGGCTGGTGTCTGGCTCTGCAGACCAGATGGGGCCATCAGGAAGTGGTTATGAGGGCGCAGAAGGAGTGAAAGTTCCAAGAAGGAGAGAGACACACACAGGGTTGAGGGGAAGCCCAGGAGCAGAGGGGTAGGCCTCTTGGCAAGGTGCTCCAGGGTGCCCAGGCCCCTCGGCCAGCTCTCAAGTCCTCACTCACTCCCCATAGCATCCACCCTGTGCCACTAGCATAGAAGGAGCCCTCTGTGAGGACAGCAAGAAAAGAAAAGGCTTAAACTATTTAAATACAAAGCCCAGAACTTTTTATAGGAAAAAAATATTATTTGGTGAAGCAGAGTTTTAACTTTCCCCTAGTTCCATAAAGAGAAATAGAGGCCCTGAGCCAGATAGTAACCTCTTCCCCTAATAAGAGGGTTCAAGTTCAAAGCCAGCTTCAAGTTCAGGGATCTCAGGTGGCTTGAACCTGCAATTTCTAAAGGGTGCCTTTTTTGTTTTTGAAGAACACATTAAACTTCTTATAGATTCTCCAACCTCTAATCAATCTGACTCCCCCCCCCCAAAAAAAAAAAATTGAAATGAAATCTTTGGACAAAGGAGCCAGATTCCCATTAGTTCTGAATGTGAGTGTATAAGGAGTGACAAGAAAAAGACTGGCTTTCATAGGTGGGTCAGGGGGCTCAGAGGTGGGTGATGCCTCCTCTGTGCCCTGTGACAGTGACAGTGTATGTGCCTGCATGCATCCATGTCCATTCTGTTTCAGATGTCCCCTCATTACCTCCACACACTTGGTCCTCATTGGAAAATTAGGATTTTAGGGAAGTTTTTTCTGACAGGGAGGGAAGCCCACAGCTCATACTCTTGAATGGATCTTGAAGCCAAAGTGTCACTCTGCTTTCCAGGACAGAAAAAGCAATGGGCTTAATGTGAGCAGAGAGAGGCTGCAGTCGCCCTCCCCCTCCCCAGCCCATCCCCGAGAGGAGGAACCATTCCTGACCTGATCCCAAGATGCTTCTAGGAACAGCAGAAGCTATCCCTGCTCCCTATTCCATGTGCCTCCTTCCCACCTGCCCCCAGGTGCTGAGCTGTGTCAGCCCAGATAATGCCAACAGCCCCGAAGTCCCAGTAAAGATCCTCAACTGTGACACCATCACTCAGGTGAAGGAAAAGATTCTGGATGCCATCTTTAAGAATGTGCCCTGCTCGCACCGGCCCAAGGCTGCAGACATGGACCTAGGTGAGTCAGCTGCCCATCCAGGGGTGACCCCATGGCCAGTCCCAAACACCTCCTGCCTTCTCCCGTCGGCAGCAGGCAGAGCTGGGGTGCAGGAAGCAGGGGGCAGAAACACTGGCTGGAGAGAGCCAGGCGTGCCAGGCCCCCCAGGAGCCCATGGGTTCGCATTCATGGACTGTGCAGAAGTGGCCAGTGCTGGTCAGTGAGCAAAGCGTAGCAGGGGAGGGGGCACAGGTCACCTGGCAGTGTGCCAGCGATCTGACCCAACATGTGATGCCTCTGAGGTTCTTTGAATGGCTGAGGAGGTTTAAAGGTAAAGTCCCTGTGGCCCAGGTCTTGCCACCGCCGTTGTTGTCCCCCCAGGCTGTCCCCTTCCTCTCTGTTCTTTGCTTGTGATTTTTCTGAATACCTACGTCTGAGGGATCTGGGTCAGCAACAGAGAATGGAGAGAAAGAATAGAGAGAAATGAACTCTGACAGCTTGCGAGGG